CCGGAAAGCGCCCCCTCCTGCGCCGCCGCAGCTCCACAGCCTCTCCAAGGGGCCGAGGTGATCTCCGGTAGGACCCACGCGGGGCGGGAGCACCACTCCTCCCGCTCCGCCCTCAGCTCCTCCCCTCCCAGCGGAAGGACAGGGACACGCGGGACACCGATCCGGAAAGCTGAAACTGGTCATCAGCACACCTGGCGGTGGAGGCGAAGACCTCGAGTCTCATGTATTCAGTGTGGTCCCGCAGTCAGCAGATCAGCATCACCCGGGAGTATGTCGAAACCGCAGCATCGCAGACTCCTCTCCAGACGTACTGAATCCAAGTCAGGATATTAGCAAGCTCCCGAAAGGATTCGCATGCCCATGGAAGGTTTGAGATGTCACTGAACTAGAGTACTAGGAAAAAACTGAGCTCCCTCCCGAAAGTTGTTTTTCATCTTGGTCACTTTGGAGTTCTCAATCTGAATACTTCAATCCCAGACGTTGAGAGGTTTGGGTACATCACGTTTCATGCATTAAAACGGTGAAATGCCCCATAGGGAAACTTTTTCTTGGCCTTGGTTGTCGTGACGCTTTTCTTGGAATATAAAGTAAAAATTCAAAGAGCCACATCAAGTTAAGGTTAAGAGAGCGAGAGCAGAAGTTCTGTCTTTCTCTTACTCTGGAGACACCTTCTCTCCCAAGTAAGAGCCCAATAAATCTAAGGTCATTAACTATAATATAAGGTTAATATAAGGGTAAATGCTGAGAGAGGATTTTAAATAGGCTTTTTTTAAAACCCTTTTCTGTGTGTCATGAGTTACCTGTTACCCTCTCTTCCTTTCTTCCCATGTTTCTTCTCTTTTCCTTCTGCAGACATTATTGAGGGCCTCCTATTAGTCCTGGACTCTGGAAATAGAGGGATAAATGCAAAAAGACATGGTCCTTACACTCCAGTGGGAAAGGCAGAAAATGAACAATTACACAACGAGCAGCCTTTCTTTGGCTCATCTGTTTTAAAATGATTCTTCCTTTCCCAACACATCGACCAGCAAAGGCTAGAGGTCACCTCTCCTGAGGTATTTGCATTTTCATAGGGATTGTGGAAGACAGAATAAGTGACTCATGGAAAAGTTTCTGACACTTTGTGTGGAGGGCAACTGCTCCAAGTTTTACTTGAAAGGCCAGTTTTGTTTGGAGGCAATTTTTTTTTTCCTCAAAAGTGTTAATGGTCACAACAATTTGGACGCAGAGATTAAATAGCCTGCCCCTTCATCCTTGCTTGATGCATTCTGGAAAAGGAGCGCACTTTGCCAAGATTACTGCCAGGACAGAGTGGATGGTATGGCTTCCTTCCCCCTATAATACTGCCAAAACAGGTTTATTTTTTATTATAGTAATAAGCTAAGTTCACTTTTGGGGAGGGAGCTTGATGTCATTTACTTAATTCCCAAGAAGTATTATTTATTTTAATGTCATGACTCCATTAGAATACACTCTCCATGAGGGTAGAGCTTTTTGTTACATTTATTTACTGATATGCACCAAGAGCCTAGAATAGTCTCTGGCACATGTAGAAGGCACTCACTAAAAGTTTGTGAAATGATTAATGAATTGCCATAAGAGCACCATTAGCAAGGTGCCCTGGACTGTAGAATGCAGAATGAAGCCTTTATTGAAACTTTAACCTGACTTGATCAAACTCCCACTGTTTTCCGGGATCCTTTTGATCTTATGAATGCAAGAATATAAACATTCTGCAGTTTCTGCCTCCTTAACTTTGTTTCTCTACAAAGTCTGGCGAACTCTATACTTTACCTTGAATTCAGTGACTTCACAAATTCTATTTTTGATAACTAACCGGGTGTAGCAGATTATATTTTCCAAATCTGGCCCCAATAATATCTCCTATTACAGATGCTCCTCTACAATGTGACCTTGGCGTTTGTCTCATCAGGGGGTAAGGTATATGCCCCTTCTCTTGAATATGACCGGGCATATGGTTCACTTATAACCAATAAAATGTAATGGAAATGACACTGCATGACATCCTAAGCTAAGTCATAAAAAAATATTGTAGCTCTCATCTTGCATGCTGGAACACTGACTTATATTTGGAGCCTTGAGCCACCTTGTAAGAGCCTGACTGCCCCGAGTCTGCCATATTGAGTGAACCACCTTGGATGCAGCTCAGTCAAGCTTTCAGCTCCATGAGAACTGCCATCCCAAGCCCTTCAACAATTCCTAACCCACAATATTATAAGCAAAATGAAACAGTTCTTTTAGGCTACTAAGTTTTAAGGTAATTTGTTACGTAGCAATGGTAACTGGAATATCCTGCTAGCTTTCCATCATCCAATACCATAGAAGTGCCATATAATCAATAGTGCCCACTCAACAGGGCAAAGAGTAGTTGGGCAGAGGCATATTTGGGGGGAATCTGGACCAAGGGACAAGAAGTATGCAGGCACATAGAAAGTCGTATTCCAAAGCAATAATTTTAGTTGGATTCTTTAGAGGTAGCAGTGACCTCACAAGAAATATGCAGCCTAAACAAAATCTTGCCAAAGCCATTAATTTTGCCCTTATCTGCAAGACTTGTCCTGAGAGTTACAGAGTCTCTAGCAGCATTTGCTGACAGGCAGCTCCCAACACTTGGTTTCTGTGATCTTGCTGAATTGTCCAGTTCATACTTCTTCTTCAGTATTTCCTTATTCTGCAGATTAAACAAAACTATGGACGGAAAATAGTTTCAAGTGGATTCATCAAAGAAAGTGCATAAAAATTATGCAAAACAGGTGGAGGGGGATAGGTGGAGGCATAGAGGGAATAAAAGGTGATGGAAAAAGTAAAATTAAATTAAATTTTTAAAAAATATGCAAAACTGTCCAGGAAAAATTATTAATATTGAAGCATTCCTCTTACTCAAATCATTGATATCACAAGGGTGAATATGAAAAAATCAGTAATTGTATAACTGTCAAACCTTAACACTTTAAGGCTTACTGTATTTTATGGGATAAACCATTTTAAAAATAAATCAGAATACTTTGCATCCTGGAAATGGTTTAGATAACTTAATCAGTGCTATGTTCAGTCCTTAGAGTACATTCTCTTTGGGGATGCATCTCTGATTTATTAACTTAGCAACTTAATTGGAGACTTCTGCTTCGGCTCCTTTGCCCCCATAGGCCCTTCTCAGAACAACAGCCAGAATGATATAAGTCAGATCCTGTCTTCTGACTGATGTCAATGTTTCGCCTGTCCCTCAAAGTAAAATCCAGAATTCCTGGGATGGTCTAAAAAGCCCACTACCATCTGGCCTTCATTACTTCTCTAACCTCTCTCCTTATTCTTCCGCTTGCTCCTTCAGTTTCAGCCATGCTGGCTACCTTTATATTCCTCAAATATGTTAGTCATAGTCTTAATTTGGAGTTTCTTTTGCAGTTTCCTATTCCTAGAATACTTTTCAAAAGATATATTCATGGCTTGCCCCTCACCTCTCTCATTGAAATCTTCCATGACTTATTATTTTAAATTGCAATCCTTTCCCCCAACCATTATTATCTAATAACTATATTTTTTACTAATTTGTGTTGTTTCTTGTCTGTCTTCCTTCACTAGCGTGTAATTCCCACGAGGACAGGAGTTTTTGTCTCTGTTGTTGCCTACTTTATCCCCAGCATCTAGATTAATGCCTGGCACACCATATTTGTGCAAGAGATATTTATCGATGTCTGTGATACGCTTCACAATGTCAAAATTTCTACCAATTTCTTTTTTGTCATTTCTGAATATATTTCTTTCTTTATTTTTATTGTTGACACTATTACAGATGTCCCCATTCCCCTTCCTTTGCCCCTCTCCATCCAGCCCCTGCACCCCCTTCCCTCTGCCATCACCACACTGTTGTTTGTGTCTGTGTGTCATGCATATATGCTCTTTGGCTAATCCCTTCACCTTCTTTCATCCAGTCCTCCCCTCCCCCTGCCCCTCTAACAGTTATCAGTTTGTTCTGTGTATCCATACCTCTGTTTCTATTTTGTTCATCAGTTTAATTTGTTCGTTACATTCCACATATAAGTGAAGCCATATGGCATTTGTATTTTTCTGACTGGTTTATTTCAATTAGCTTAATAATCTTCAGGTCCATTCATACTGTTGCAAAAGGTAAGATTTTCTTTTTTTTTTTTTTTTATGGCCACGTAGTATTCCATTGTTTAAATGCACCACAGCTTTTGTATTCACTCATCTACTGATGGGCATTTGGGCTATTTCCAGATCTTAGCTATTGTAAATTGTGCTGCTATGAACATAGGGGCATATATTCTTTCAAATTTGTGTTTCGGAAAACTTCTACCAGTTTCTAATTGATGGCTAAGCTTTACTCTACTTTCTTGACCAGTTTCTTGATCCTGCTCCTC